TCCTTGAGGATATTGTTAAAGGTGTTATTTCCCTGATTTTTTTTTCTCAGCCCATTTGTCATTTTTATATAGGAGGGCTACTGATTTTTGTGAGTTCATTTGTATCCAGCCACTTTGCAGAAAGTGTTTATCAGCTGTAGGAGTTTCCTGGTGCAATTTTTAGAGTCACTTATGTATGCTATCTTATCATCTGCAAATAAAGATATTTGACTTTTCCTTTCCGATTTATATCCCTTTGATTTCCTTCAGTTGTCTTATTGTTCTAGCTAACACTTCAAGTACTAATTGAATAGGTATGGAGAGAGTGGACAATTTTGTCTTCTTCCTGGTTTTTGGAATTACTTTGAGTTTCTCCCCCATTTAAGTTGATGCTGGCTATAATCTTGCTGTAAACTGCCTTTATTATGTATCCCTAATCTCTGAAGGGCTTTTATTATGAACAGGTGTTAGTTTTTTGTCAAAGGCCTTTTCTGCATCTAATGAGATGAAAATGAGGTTTTTTTTTTCTTTGATTTTGTTTATATGGTGCATTACATTGACATATTTTCCTATGTTAGTGCTACTTTTCCTTTACTTCATTGTGTCACAAAGTTTGGGTATGTTCTGTATTCATTTTCATTCAATTCTACAAAGTCTAATTTCTTTCTTAATTTGTCTTAATCCACTCTTCATTTAGTATTGAGTTGTTCCATGTCCATGACTTTGTAAGCTTTCTCTTGTTTCTGTTGTTGTTGATACCCAGTTTTAATCCATGGTGGTCTGATAGGATACCAGGTGTTATTTCAATTTATTTTGTATCTGTTGAGTTGCTTTGTGACTAAGTATGTGGTCAGTTTTGGAGAAAGTTCCAAGAGACACTGAGAAGAAGGTATATTCTTTTGTATTTGAGTGAAATGTTCTGTAGATATCTGTCAGGTCCATTTGGTTTATAATATCAGTTAGCTCTAGCATTTCTCTATTTGGTTTTTGTCTGGATGACCTGTCTGTTGGTGAGAGTCAGGTATTTAAGGCTCCGACTATCAGTGTGTGAGGATCAATATGTATATAGTAGTGTTTCTTTTATGAATTTGGATGCCCTTGTGTTTACATCTACTTGCACAGATGTTAAGAATTGTGGTGTCCTGTTGGTGGATTTTTCTTTTAAGTATATATTGTCCTTCCCTATCTCTTCTGATTAGTTTTTGAGATCTGTTTTGTCAGATATTAAAATGACTACAAAGCTTTCTTCTTATGTTCACTTTCTTGGAATATGTTTTTCCATCCTTTTACCCTGAGGTGATGTCTATCCTTGGTGTCCAGGTGTGTTTCTTGGATGTAGCAGAAAGATGGATTCTGTTTTCACATTCATTCCCATATTTTTTTATTGGGGGATTGAGGCCATAGATGTTGAGAGATACCATTGAGTAGTGTTTGTTCATTCTTGTTACTTTGTTGTGGTGTGTGCACATGGGTGCATGCATATTCCCTCTTTTGATTTGTTGGTCTGGGATTAATTCCTTGTGTTTTCAAACCTCTTTAGGTTGGAGTTTTCCTTCTTTAATAGGGGTGGATTTGTAGATAGATACTGCTTAAATTTGGTTTCATCATGGAAAATCTTATTTTCTCCATCTACCATTAATTGCTAGGTATAGCAGTCTGGATTGGCACCTGTGGTCTTTTAGAAGTCAGGTGTTATTCTAGTAGATATGTCTTTATATGTTACTCTTTCTACCTTTCAGCTTTTAATACTCTTTGTTCTGTATATTTAGTGTCTTGATTATTATGTGACAAGGGAACTCATTTTTTGTTCCAGTCTATTTGTTATTTTGCATACTTCTTGTACCTTTATAGGAATTTCCTTCTTTAGATTAGGAAAATTTTCTTCTATGGTTTTGTTGAAAATACTTTCTGTGGCTTTGACCTGGGTTTCTTTTCCTTCTTCTATTCCTATTATTTTAGATTTGATCTTTTCATTGTGTTCCAGATTCCTTGGATGTTTTGTGCCAAGAACTTTTAAAATTTAACATTTTCTTGGACCAAAATATTCATTTATCTTCAATGCCTGAAGTAATCTCTTCAATCTCTTGTATTCTGTTGGTGAGTCTTGCCTCTGAGTTTCCTGTTCGAGTTTCCAAATTTTTCATTTCTAGATTTCCCTCAGTTTGGATTTTCTTTATTGATTCTATTTCCACTTTCAGGTCTAGAATGGCTTTTATTCATTTCCTTCCTCTGTGTTTTCATTAATTTCTTTAAGGGATTTTTTAAATTTCCTCTTCAATGACCTCTATCATATTCATAAAAGATATTTTAAGGTCTTTTTCTTGTGTCTCTGCTATGTTGCAATACTCAGGGTCTGCAGTGGGAGGGTTGCTGGGCTTTAGTGGAGATATATTGTCCTGGTTGTTACTGTGTTTTTACTCTGGCATTTAAGCATCTGGGCTTGGGATGGTTATAATTCTTGTTGCCAATATCTGGCCTTGTCTTTGTTGGATGGGTGTTTTGTTCCTTTTCTCTGTTGTACTCTCTGATTCTTAGGAGCATGTGGTAGCTGCATGTTGCGTGGTATGAAGTTTCTTCTAGGATCCTGATAGGTGTGGCCACTGGGGATTTCAGGTAAAATGTGTTTCTAGTTATTGGTGGATATTATCTGCAAAGCTGGAGTGCAGAAGGGGAAAGCCCAGAGGTAGCCCATCTGGGTCTGTATTATAGGGGTGGCTGTTGGGGTCTAAAGGAAGGGAGACAGGCTGAGAGGAAGAGTCTATCCATGGCAAGCAGCCACTGGACTATAGCTGCCAGAATGGAAAGTAGGAGGTGAGAATGCAGGGAGCATGTCGGGGTGCGTGCCACATGTGGTGACTGCCACACTGACCACTAAAAATGCTGCTCTACCCACTAGATTAAAAAGAAGAATCTTCATGGAAGCCTTGGGTAATCACACATGGTGCCTGCCACACTGACAAAAAATAAGCTGCTCTGCCCACTAGACTAGAAAGAAGAATCTTCACAGAAGCCTTATGTAATCACACATGTGGTGACTGCCACACTGACCTAATAATAATGCTGCTCTACCCACAGAAGCCTTAGGCAATTACAGAATTTAGCAGTGGGCAGCAGACAGGTCTTAGGCTGGCCATGGCTTTAGAACTGCCTCACAGAGATCAGAGACTTAATTTGCAGTCTTAAACAGCAGAGTGACAGAAGTAAGGCACCTAGCAGCACTCAACAGCTGTAATGGTCCTGCTACCATCTGCTCAGAGATTATCAGACATTCAAAGAGGATAGAAAGCATGATCGTGGTGTCTGTACTATAACTTCAGCACTAGGGAGGCAGAGACAAGAGGGAAAACACGACCTGTAATGAAGAAAAGAGATAAGCCACAGATGTTAGAATTAATAGAAAAGGAAGCCAAGACCATAGCTTTTTCCTCATCTTCCAAAGTATAAAAAAGATGAAAATTACATCTTTAGAAACAAAAGCTGCAGTGTCTGAGATGAAAAGTGCAATAGACAGAATCAGATGTTGCAGAGGAAAAGGCCTGAGAAGAGTCGCTGTAGGGTTGTTTCTTGCTATGTGTCTAGAAGACTACTTTGTTACTCCAGGTAGCTGATGAAAACTTTAATGGCTGGAGTTCCATTTGGACTAGCTCAAAAAATACTTTTCTGCTGTAATGACTTCTTGTTAAAATATCTTTGGTTGCACCTTGATTGAGAGAAAGTTAAAATACTTCTGATAGAATTAAAGTATTTATATTTTGGAATAGAATTTATGTGTTGTTAGGGTTTGTGTAGAAATATGTTAAAAATTATGAAAGTTTAGAATAATGATTTGCACATTGCTTCATAGGTGCGAGACTTATTTCCTAGCCAACTGGTAAATTTTGTGAGGGACCTGAGTTGTCACTTACATCTCTGAAGCTCCCTAACATACTTCACATGGTACATCTGCCAGTGTGTGGTTCGTGACACTTCTATGAAAGCAACATCTTCTACCTCAGTGTTCTGCACTTTAGTCTGCTGTCTGAGGTATGAGTGTTACCTTGGTGCAAATGTAAACAGCTTGTCTCAGTCTGTTAGCTTATGCAGATTTAATCAGGTATGTTCTGAGGTAACTATAAGAACTCGAAAATGATGTATTTAGGGAGGTCTCAGTAGGAGACTACAGAGTAAATGGCAGAGTTAAACCAATGTAAAAAACTGTTCTTCCCATTTATTGGGAGGCATACTACCTCAGAATAGGGTGGTCACTCTCCCATTTCTTAGCCACAGGAAGATTGTCTCCATTTTTAGGCAAAGAGACATACAAGGATAATGTTTTGGACTCCCGGGTTCCAGTGTATTGCAAGACTTTCCTCTGAAGCGTCTGTAAACGGTACAAGCTAGAACAGCGTCTGCACAGTTCAGGCCAGAGGACCCAGATCTTTCAGAGAAGTGCCTGTTGACAAGACAGGGTGATCACAACCTAGAGGCAGTTTGTAGCTGTCTTGACTTTGATTTGAGAAGAGTCGCTGTAGGGTTGTTTCTTGCTATGTGTCTAGAAGACTACTTTGTTACTCCAGGTAGCTGATGAAAACTTTAATGTTTTCATTTTGAGTGTGGAGGCTAGCTGAAATCACTCGTCTGTGCCCTGATCTTGTCCTGTCCTGCTGCAGAAGGGAATGGGGATGTCATCAGTGTCTCACTCCATAAGACAAACACACTTATTGAGGCAAGATGAGGGTTGTACATTAACGATAAGGTCCAGGAGAGGGTTCCTATTGTCGATGCTTTATTATCGATTCTAAGCAATGTTCAACAGAAAAAGTTAAGGATTGCATCTTTCCTCCATGTTTGTTTGAGTCACTAGAAAAAGAAAATCTGTATTGTAGAAGAACCATCAGTGCGAGGTCTCTGCATACCAATCACAGCAGCACAGGCACTCATTCTTGAGCATTCCTGGCTTTATCAGATACAGTGGTGTGGTTAGCGTGGTTGAATATTGTTCTTCGCCACTAAACTGAGCTTGGTGCAACTTTGTGTTTCAGGACTCATGAATCAAGCCAGCAGAAGTGAAAGGTGGATAAATGCTGTTGCCCCCAAAGGCACTGTAAGTTTTAAACATCAGAGCTGGTTTCAGTCTCTGAAACTGCAGGACTAAGAATGACTTCAGCTGTATTTATTAATTTTAGTGTGGACTAACAGACATGTGAGTATAAAACAGACAACTGTATTCATATAAATGTCAAAAACAACAGCATTGGCAGGGAATACTGGGGAATACAGGGGGACTTTTGCAAAACGTGTACTTAGCTGTAGAATTCGTTTTCAATTGCTGTGTTCCAAATTACAGAACCCCCAAAGTATGTTCTAAGACCTCCGATGATTGCCTGAAACCACAGACAGTGTCAACCGCTATACACCGTGGTTTTTCATAAACACATGTGCCAGCTGAATGCCTTTTCTGCTCAACTAAGCAGTGATGTGCTCCCGTCAAAACACTTACCACTGTAGTTCCGATAGCAAAATAATGGCTTTCTTTTCCCTCCTTTACAATGCCATGCAAGTGCATCCACCCTGACTGTAGGGCCTAGAAGCCTCAGCATATCATTTTGTTTTGTTTAACTAAGTTGAGAACTTTTACCTTTTTCCTTGAAGCCCTTTGTGGCTTCGCTTTATCAGGCCCAATTGCAAATCTCACTATAATGGTACTTTAGAGCCGTTCCTAAAGTAAGGGCTTCTTGAACTCTGGCCCTATGACACTACGGTGATGGTGGGATGGCCAGGGTGGCTACCTAGTGACTAGCAGGTAGTATACACAGATGGCACGCACATGCATGGCAAAGGAATGACTGGCACCCTGAAGGAAACAGCAGATTTCCTCATGCTACTTCAGGTGACACATAATTTAAAGCATACACATTACTTATTTCTGAAAGTTATCAACTATGAGTTACTGAAGAAATAAAAGACAAATCCTTGGATGAGGGCAAGAGAATGGTTCTACCACAGATTTAATGACTTCAGATCACTGTTTTAACAGCTTATAATTGGGCCGGGCGTTGGTGGCGCACACCTTTAATCCCAGCACTTGGGAGGCAGAGGCAGATGGATCTCTGTGAGTTTGAGGCCAGCCTGGTCTCCAGAGCGAGTGCCAGGATAGGCTCCAGAAACCCTGTCTCGAAAAACCAAAACAACAACAAAAAAACCCCAGTTTATAATTGGTAATGTTGGCCTTGTGCTCGGTGTCACATAGCTGAAGTAAAGATGGTGGCCAGGCTGGGAATATTATCTGGGGACTGCGGCGAGAGGTCTCCCAAGTTCCCTCACATTATAGGAAACAAATCAAATTTCTTGTGCCTGTATGACATCGTTTTCTTGCTGGGTTCCACAATCACTCACTCCTTCTAATGACATGTCATCTCCATCCCCTTGTGGGCCCTCTGTCTTCAAGCAAAACACGCAGAGTCCTTCTTGTGCTCTGAATGTCTGACATTCTTGTAACCTGGAGAAATCTCTGCTTGGTTTGCCAAGATATTTAACATGATTATGGGACTATTATATGGTTTCCACAGCTCCCACCCAAGAGATGACTATGGAAAGTCATTGTTGGAATCACCTTGGGATTGTTGGCATTGTAGCACCCACGGAACACATTTTCTTGTTAGTACCTCCTATGGCATGTCTTTAAGTTATGAATAAAATACCATGTAGGTGAACCAGGTGCTTCTGATTTGACTGTGTCTTGTGTAGGTTATGATGTGCCTCACTATGGGATGTATAAAGATACAAATATACTTTTATAAGCCATGTTTTATAGACTGACTTCGTGGATTCAAAACTATACTATACTGAACAGATCCATTTGTTGGATTATATATTTTGATTTGGACAAATCAGTGATTAAACACAGATTTTAAATAAACGTTTCTAATTACAAGTCTCCTTTTATTAATGCCCCATTTCTTTACCTTCTTTCTAATATCTTATTTGTGAAACAAAATCAGCCTTGTTGGTCTGTGGCTGTCCCCTTAGAATTCACTCTTAATGAAATCAAAATTTATAGGAAAAGGAAATGTCTCACATGCTGGGATATTTTGTGTGGTGATTGTGTGTTCAGCTGTGAAGCAAAGGAAATAGTGAGGCAGTAAGGCAATTTTTATAATATTTTTTCACTCTGAGGCAATTAGAAAAACATTTCATGACTAAAAATAAAGTTGATAAAAGTAGTCAACAACAGCCCAAAAGGTCATGAATTAGAATTCAGCTAAGAATGCTTAAAGTTAGTTATTAGTGGAATTGTACATAATGTCTTCCTTGCATAGCTCGCTTTTCTGATTCCTACCCCTTCTATTTCTGTAGCTCTGAAGTTTACCTCCTCGGGATGAATGAACAGGCCTCTCATTCTTGGTTTTGAAAAGACATTAAGAGTTTGGTCATAGACTTTAATGACCCCCCCCCCCCATGGAAGGCCTCACCCTCCCTGGGGAGTGGATGAGGGATGAGTTGGGGGACTGGTGGGGTATGGGAGGATGGGAGGCAGAGGGAACTGGGATTGATGTGTAAAATATGACTGTTTCTAAATTAAATAAAAATATATCTAAAAAAAAAGATTAAAGGAAAGAGTCTGGTCATAAAGCCACCTCCTGCGTCTCGGCAGTATAGCAGGCATGTTTTTCCTTGGCCTGTTCTTCCCCGTGCAGACATCTCTCTTAGAAGCCAGCTGCCTCTTTTATGTCTCCTAGCCATGCACATGAAACACTCAGGTCAGACTTCTGAAGCCAGCTCTCACGAAGCTGCTACAGGCCTCCAAATTTAGTTCCCAGTCTCACTCATACCGTGGTCATTTGGCTCAGATCTTCAGACTCGCTATGTAACAGGTTCCCTTGCTCTGACTCCCATGGGCCTTTCTACCACTGATTTCAAAAGCATTCAAAAAGAGGGAGGGAAGTTATTTAAAAGCATTTAACTGATAAAGAATACCCAAAAGTAATACAGTGTAAGGCCTTTTAAAACTTTATTATCCTTTAATTTTTTTTACCTTCATTCCAATTTTGTAAGTAAGCTGGCTAACCTCATTTAATAGTAAGTAACTGAGGAGCTAGGGAAAAGGCTGAGCTAATGTCACTGACACAGCTTGTGTGTACCTGTCAAAAAAGACCTCCCTCCTGTTCTGGCAACAGCAGATCCTATAATGGTAACGATAATGGATGGAATATGGTAAAAACCCATGATAGAAGCATGTTAAATTCGTTTTTAAATATTAATTAAAGGTCATTTCTTTGTAGAAACCAACTGGAAGGTGCTTTGTGTTGTCTTCTTGGCATTTCATAGTTAAAATTCCTGTGTAGCCCAGCCATGATAAGAAGAAATGAGGTGTCACAGGAGCTCTCTTTCTGGTCACATTGCTCTTGTTTCTCTTTCATTTGCTTCTTTTGAGTGTTGAATCTAGGGCTGACTTTTCGCTTTCCTTTATTGTCAAATGAATGTCAGGAAATTACAAAAAAGCTTCTTTGCCTTTGAAGATGTGAGTCCCTGTCATTTATAAACAATCCTTTACTGATCCCCAGAGTCATCACCTTGGCTCCAGAGTTGGCTAGTTTTGTGGCTGTGACCACTTTCTTTTCCTGTCTGGAGGGCAATACCTACTTGAAAAAAAAAATGTGTGCCTTTCCCATCTGTTCCCTACATTGTAACATTAGATCTGATCATCTTGTCCACAGTTAGTTTGTTTGAAGCTGGAGAGATGGCCTAGTGGTTATTCCTTTACTGGCTTGAAGACACAGGTTTGGTTCCCAGCACCTACATAACACTCACAGTCAACTATATCACCAGTTTCAGGCCTTTGTGGACTCCTACACACACAGACTCACATTAAGTAAATAGATGTTTAAAAATAACTTTATCGGGTTGCCTTGGAGTCTCATTAGATAAAGGTGATGTTTGCTTTTGAAGTAAGAAGCAGAGGCATGCTGCTTTTTTTGTTGTTATTGGGACAGCAACTTAACATCGCGTGAAGAAACATTATCAGTTCCAGAAGTTTTGTTTTCCCTATTTGAGGTTGGAGTCTGAACTTTCCTCGTCACTGCTGAATGTGTCTTTGACTAACAGTTCTGTCTTTTTTCTGAGTTGCATTCTATGATGAGTCTCTGCAAGACGATTGCCATCAGAGTCATAGCCAAACCATCTTGGAGGGTTGCGAGAGCTGTATTCCTGATGTTGGACCACAGAGGACATTTTGTGAGCTGCTGCCCTGTAACAACAGTGCTGAGCGTTAGTGAACTGCAGAAGGAATCCCTCCAGTTTTCAAATTTGACCGAGTTTGGAATTCAAAACTTACTATCACTAGTCACATTCAATGAAGAGCTTTGCTTCCTGTTAGAGAAAGTTGGGAAATTTGCAAATATCAGGCACCCCAGGCAAAAGTATCTGTAGTCCAGCCAGTTAGGGCTTACCAAGCTGTATGTTCTAATAAATGCCCAGGAGCAGGAACACTGAAGTCATTTACAGTACTTTTGAGTAAGCGCTCAGCCTGATGCAGCTCCAGTTTATTTGATGAAGGAACAACCTGACCCACCCTCCCTGTGAAGACTAATGTGTCAGAATGAACCTCATCGCCAGAGTTCACAGACCCCTGTGGATGTATGACGAACTCTAGGAACTTTCTAAAAGCCTGTGTAGTTTTGTCTCCAGTATATATTTTTCTTGTGACTCAATGATTAAATGATTAAAAATATTGTTAGAATTACTTAGGAAGAAATAAGGAAGCAAAGAACATACATATGCACGTGCATACATGAAGACATACACACATTTCCTCTCAATGAACAGAGATGCAAAAATTCTCAACATAATACTTATAGTCAAATCCCTCAACACATTAAAAAGTCCACATACTATGATCAAGGTGGTGTCATGGCAGCGATGTAGCGACGGCATAACACATGCAAACCAGTAAATGTAATCCAGGGCATAAAGACATTCAGAAATCACACGATTATTTTAGTAAATGTAATACAGGGCATATAGAGACTCAGAAATCACATGATTATTTTAGTAGGTGAATAAATGGCCTTTGACAGCAATAAATATCCATTTATGATAAAAACTCAAAACCAAAAAGCACTAAGGACAGAAGGAGCATACCTCAACATAATAAGGACTATATATGACAACCTATAACAAACACACTAATTGGGGGACACATTTCCTCTAAAAGCAGAAGTAAGACAATAGTGTCCACCCCTTCACTCTTATTATTATGTTTATATTCTTAGCCAAAACAATAAGGCAAGAAAAAGAGATGAAAGGAATACAAAGACAAAAGGAGAATCAAATTATCTGTAGACAATATGACCATGCACTAAAAGACACTATATAATTAAAAAATGATCTCATTCATGATAACTAAAAATAAAAAATCCAAACCACACATGCACATGTGTGCAGGTATGTGCACACACACACAGCCTAGGAATAAACTTCACTAGGTAGGTAAGATGAAAACTAGTTTTCATTTATAATGAAAACTAAGTATTCTACAGTGAAAACTAAAATAATGAAGAAAAACGCCCAAGGCTGCTGGCATTGACTCGAGACAAGGACACTATATTCCAAGACAGCGGTGTCCTTGACTTTCAGGGAAAGGTTATGCATGTTTAGGTAGCAAAGGACTTGAAAGTTGACCAACTTATATGTTACCTGTGGTTTCTGAAAGCACTGGTTTTAAAGAATTGTGACTAGTTGATATGAAGCTAAGTACTCATTGCTCAGTTTGGGAAGGTGTAACATGTGGGCTGTTAATACGGTTCTTCATTCAGCTACAAGCTAGAGTAAATTTAGTGGTCCTTGAATTTTTAAAAGTTTTAGACTGTAAAAGTTATGAGTGCATTGTGCAATATATTAGCTATCCATCTTGTCACATGACAAGAGGGTCTGTAAAAATTATGGTATTAAAAACTTAATAGTAGGGGACTAAGAAAAATCCTGAGAAGGAAGTTGCTGCTGACCCAGTACAGAGAAGTGGGCTGGGTTTGGTCACTGCTGTGGCAGGCAGTGTCACAGGAAAAGAGCGATAGTAAGCCAAGTGTTTATCCACAGCATAGGAAGTGCACGGTGGAATATGCATTTCTCTTTGCTGTTTTTTTTTTTTTTTTTTTGGCTTCCAGTACCACTTACCCCAGCTGTTTCACCCTTCCACCCACAAGCAGCTTCAGTGAAAGAACTAATTAGTATGTCTGTGGTCTCAGTAGTGAGCAGTGAGGCTTCAGAAGGAGGCCCGCTTCCCCTGCTCACAGGCTCTTCCAGTCTGGGGTGAGTGGGCTGCTTTTCTCAGGGAGGTAGACTGAGTGGACCACAGTTCAGTGGCAGAGCTAGAGCTAGGTGACAAGGGGCAGAATTTGGTTGCCTACTTGACCATAGGGAGGAAGGTGCTGAAAGTGAAAGGCCTCTATGAAAGGAATCTAAAACTATGAAGTTAATTTTAGAAGGGCATCCCAGGTTCAACTCAGAATGTTGGTTTGGTTTCAATTAGTGAAAATACAAATGGTTACAGGTTACGAATGGCATAGCCACATGCCGTGCTATCCTGGCATTTCCAAGGCCTTCATATCTAACTGCCTACTTACACAGAGATGGACTTGCAGAATTGCATCTTGAGGATCCGGAGTTGTTTGCAGCCAACTCGAAGGTCCTGAAGGATCTGGTCTGTAAGTAGGATACAGCCAGAGATATCCAAAATGTGCAGATAATGGCACTTTGCAGATAATGTCTCCAACCCTCCATCAGTAATCTGCACACGCAGCCAAAGTAAGTAACAGTTATTGAGCAACTCTGTCTCACAGGGGAGCAGTATTTTAATTTAGGGTGCTGTACTTACATATGGTAGATTAGGTAACTCATACATCAAGCACCTATTTCTTAACATTCTGAAGCCTGGGAAATCCAAGAACAAGATGGCTACACATATGGTGAGGTACAGATTTGCAGATGTCTGCCTCGTATCATGCTGTTAGTGGCATAGAGAACTCCAGCCTCTGCTGCTTCTTATACGGACATGATCCCATAATTGCAGCATCCCTTTCATGACATCTTCTTACCCTGTCAGGCTTTCTTTCACCAAGTTTATCCCATGATAAGCCAAGTCTGTGGTTTAATTACTTTCAAATAAGATGGAAGAGGAAAATACCTGCCTCAAGTGACACCAGAGGATTCGTGATTTCATTGTTCTTTTTCACTTAAGCATCCTCTGGTCTGGATGAGAAACAGTCACCTTTTCTTTAGTAATTAATACATATTGTGTCATTGTGAGGAACTCAGGAAATGCTACAGCAATGGGGCTGTCCATGCTTGAAGTCCTCTGTAAAGCTTTACCAATTTGGAAAAGTATGCCTAATAACATCACATTGCAAAGCTACTAACATACATGCCCCAAAGACCATCTCCATACAGCATAGGGTTTCCATGAGAAGGAGCCGAACATCTCCGATAGGTCATATAAGAATAAGTGGCCCAGTTCAGGAAGGATAGCAGTAGGCTTGAGACAAGAGGGAGATAGGTAGAAGCCACAGACAGGGCAAGTCCCGCTCAGACCAATCTTGGCCAATGTTCCACCATTCTGCAAGTCTGTCCAGATCTCCTGCAGAGGTAATTCAGCCCCGTTGCTAGTTTATTTCACTGACTTGACTTTTGATTTATGGATGAACTGAAACTTGCTGCAGAGTAAATAGATTACTCTCCCCAAAGGAATTTTCCAACTGGATTTAATTTCCTACTTTATATATGAACTTTAAAAAAAAACATACACTATGAGGCTTAGCTCATTGTTTTTAACATAAAGTTAAGAGAATTATGCAGAAAAATCCTTTGGTTTGAAATGCATACTTTTTAAGTATTGGGGCAGGGGAATAGATGTTGTCATTGTCTAGGCATTCCCTGTTTCTGGAACATGCTTGGAAACAAGGCTCAGAATTGTAACTTGTTCTCACGAAAATCCCTTAGACTCCCTTGCCACGCTGTGTGAGTCTCCATGGACCTGGTATCATTGAAAACAGAAACCATCAGTTTTATAGGATCAGTGATGGGATGGTCCAGGCAGGTGAGCTTTAGAGTTGAAGGGTTTGACCTGGAGTCCCGAAAAGGAGCCCTCATCTGTAGTTTGGAAGTTCCATGTGTCTAATATGGAGGTTATGCCTGGGGGGGAGGTTATGACTCAAGGGCTGGAAACTGGGGGTGGAGATGAGTTGGCTAGTATTCCCAACTCTCAGATACAAGTTCCTGGCCTTGTCTCACTAGAGAGATTGTTATTTCCAACCCATCTCCCTTAGAGTCTCTGGAAAACTCTTGGTGTCTTTAAATTTATTTCCTATTTTGGAAGAAGCATAAGCACGTTACCTTAAAAATTAGTGATGGAGAAACAATTACAAATATGTTACCTTAAAACATAACTACTTTTGAACATTCTACAGCATATCTTAAGTTCTGAGAAATTTGAAAAAGGTTTCAACATGCTCAATAACACTACCACCAACCATCTGCTTGAGCTATTGGTTCTTGGGATGCGTTGCTGGCCTAGAAGCAGCCCATGGAAGGGCAATACCATGTCCAATCAAAGACCTCCCTCTCAACTGAGGACTCATCTGCAAGCAGCTCTGAGAGGAGCCAGCATGTGGCTGGCTCCATGGACAACCCTGTAGAGCCTCTAGTAGGAGACCCCCAACTGACACCAGCCCAAATTGCTGGCCCATTAAATGATGAGCAAATAAAATGGGAGCCATCTGAGCTGGAGAGATGTATGGGGGTGGAGGGTGTGTACCACTCTTGCAAAGGACCTGAGTTTGGTTCCCAGCACCCATACCAGGCTGCTAATAACTGCCTGTAACTCTAGCTCTAGTGGGAATCCACTAGACTTGACCTCTGTGGGCACTGTACTCAAGTGCACATGCTGACACACTGACACATACATGCACATAATCCAAACTAAAATCTTTTTTAAAGTTTAAAAAGCTGTGAGTTGTTTAAGCTTTCGATTATGGGAAGGGTGATTGCTTGCATAGTAACAGATTATATACATTATCCAACATCATATGTCAGGCATCCCATGCTGATATATGGTTTTAAAAAAAATCCATTGATCATTTTTGTGACCATTCTAAAACCTCTAACTGACTTTGTGACCATGTTGAAATCTCTAAACTGAAAGAATTTCCAAGATTCCACTTCCTAAAGGTTCCATAACTTTCTGAAACAGTGCTACCAACTAGGGACAAAGTGTTCAAATGCACAATCCTGCAGGGGGCATCCCACATTCAACCCAAGCTTCTCTGCTGTACTCACATGCCTAGCGGCCTCCCAGTTGGTGTTGCATTCATCCAGGTCCCTTCTTTTTCTCATGGTTAGCTCTAAAAGCATACATAACAAGACTATTGGAGTACAGCATCTTGAGCTGAGGGACTGGTTGGACATCCTGAGTTATACTCCAGACCTGCTGCAAACACGATGCCTCTCAGTGATTTAGCATGTCATTTTGCCCCTTGGGTATAAAACTTGTGGTCGAAGCTCAGTTGCTGCTCTCTGGAGTCCCCTGGCTACAGTGTGAGGGAAATGTCTGGTGGAGACTCTCCACTATGGCAGCTCTCCTGGACTTGGTGGAGGACTGACCTTGTTTGTCCTTTCCTATCTATCTGCAAATCATACTTCATTACCCCTTACCTACTTGAGATTTTTTTCCCTCAAAGATGAATTGTGTAAATATTTCATTGTTGTCATTGATTTCTCTCTTTTCCCCTTATTCTCCCTTTGTAATTACTAGCTCCTACCTCAAGCCACTGTCATGATCATCAAAGGTGACAACAGAATCTTATTGCTAAGAACACGGCTAAGGCGTTTACATTGAGCCCATGGCAACCAACTTGATTCCTGGTCTCAGGCATTTTCTTTCCTTGACTGGTATCTCAGTGCTACAGAGATGAGGGCCCAGCACTACTGACTGACCTGGAGGCTGCTGGAAAAAGCTAGCCTTCCCAGAGACAGGTAAAACAGATATCAAAATTCACCTGTGGCCACTCAAAAGCCATGCAAGTAGAATAAATTAGGCAAAGTGAAGCAAGTAAGGACCATTCAGATTGGCCCAAATAAGTATTCCTCCCTTTTCTGAATCAAGGCACATATGTGACTTAACTAGCACTACCTGGAGCAGAGAGCCAGACCCAATTTCTTCTGTGGATCTTCTCCACTTCCCTTTCTTCCCATGAGTTAAGTATGGACTGATGCATTTCATGCTCATGCATTCATGTCAGATCTCTAGGTGCAAAGGACCTGGTTTAGAGAGAGATTCTCTTTCTTTAAAAAAGGAATCCTCCTCTCTTTCTGTGCTCTTTAGAGCCTTTTCTTCATGCAGGGCTACTTCTCTTCCTTTGTTAGTAGAGCCACTGGAAAGCCTCCCTTAGTCAGAATAGTTCACAGTGAGCTGAGCTCATGGTCACCATGCAGAATCAGGTGGCCACTGTAGCTACTGTGCAAACTTCTTGACATGGCTCACTTCCAGAACCAGGTGACATGGACCAGAAAAACATCCACTTTCTCTTGTATCTTGTAGCTGGGCATGGTGGTGCACACCTGTAATCTTAGCACTAGGAAGACTGAGGCAGGAGAATTGTGTCTAGTTCAGGGACAGCCTGGTCTTACTGGTAAGTTCCAGGCTAGCCTGGGCTACTTACCCTTCTTTAAAAAAAAAAGTTTTCCTACAAACTTTCTGGCTTTAGTTTGACCTGGCTTTGCCCTCCCCCTCTGTATCTGATACATTAGTGTGGAAGATTCAGGAGGTTCCCGAATCACCTGGAGTTCAACAGGAGAGCAGCTGAATCCATAGCCCAGCAGGGGTGCGCACACAGCTCCTGAGCCCAGGGTGACACTGTTCCAGTAAAAACCAGTGGGCATGCATAGCAGAAGAAGCTTTTAACAGCTTGTGATTCCCAAGCATTTTTAAGATTTCTGTTCTCTTCCTTCTGCCTATTTTATCAACTCCAGGTTCTCCCTGATAATGTGTTTGGATTTTTAATCTTCTGTTTATAGACTCCCTTGTTGATCGGGTAATCCTTGGCTGGCCATTTGTGGTTAGCAGTGGAGGGCTAGCCTCTGAGTGGAGGGTGATCTAAGAGGGTGTGTGAGAGTTTCCAATCTTTCCCCGCGGCTGGCAGGAGACCTCTATCTCCTGCCTGAGGCACATTCTGGATGCAGAGTAAGAAGGAAAAGTGCCAGTTGTCTGCTCTCTGTGTTCAGGAGCCCCATTTTCCCTTTCCCTTTTGTCCCCAAACTCACAGTTAAATGTGGCATTTCCCTGCCCAGAAACCCTCCTCTGCTTTACTATCTCTAGACAATGGCGATTTTGCTCTCCAGGGGACATTTGGCAGTATCCAGAGAGATTCTTGGTTTTCAAGATGGAAATACAGGGGGCCAGATCCTAGGGGCCCAGTGCCTAGAGTAGGGCAAGGGTGTTAGCTATCCCGTGGTGACAGCATAACTCACCCTTCTGGCAAAGAACTGTCTTGTTTGGGGCTTCAGGACTGCCAGGGTTGAGAAAACTGGACTGAGAATATGAATGTCTGTGCTTCTGGTTTGGGTGGGGAGATACACCCAGAGGTGTGAGCACAGGAGACCTGGGCCTCTGCTCCTCTAGAATGCCTAACTAGGACTTTACCTTAGTGCCCTCACAACACAGTCCCTTCAGAAGTCTGTGGGGCTGCCGAGCTGAAAGCCCATTGTATGGGCCAAATGTACCCAACCTTCTCTGCCCTGGCATGGGGCTCAGAGCTGTCCCTGATCACCTAAATTTATTCATCTATTTTCAAGTTTCCACAATTTTGTTGCTTGTTTCCTTTCCTGCTTTTCTTTTCCAAATGGGCCCTCACGGTTCAGCAGCAATTGTGATTAGGGTTTCAAGGGAAATTATATGTGTATATTTGATCTGCCATATTAACCCAGACTCAGGTTTCTATAAGACAAAAGAGAGTAGGTTATATTGTACTTTGAAAGTAGTAGTCCATCTTTTAAAGTAAACAAAACACCAACCTTCTGTCACCATTTTTGACCTTTTTGTACACAGAAAAAAACCTGAAAAAAATAAGTATTAAGTACCAGCGATTTGTGTTTTCTGATGGTCTGGCTGTTTCACTTCCCCCACAGCACTTGTAGAGTCAGAGTTTATAATGATCATGGTTTCCTGAGTAAGTGTCAGGAAAGTTGTCAGACACTCAAATTAAGACTGAAGATGACTCCATGCCCTTTTGTTGGAACATAGGGACATATCTAACTACCCAGCTGGGCATGTCTAGAGACTTAACTCTTTACTTCACATGCTGTTTGCTGTTTACTAAGGCCCAAACTCAGTGAAGCTATGTGTTAACAGACAGTATTCATTTTTTAGTCCAGGAGACATGCAAACTGTTTCTGTCTAGTAGAAACTCTAACCCAAGGTTTGGCTCCATTGCTCTGTAGGATATTAACCAATATATCTAACCTGAGACCCATAATCCTACATTTTTTCTTCAGTTCCTACTCAGTTTTTTCTAATGCTGTGTGCCATGAGTTTATGATTTTGCTGATTCTCTCATTAATGAATTAAATGAATCTCTGGCATGTAATTAATTATGTTTGCATGAGGATAATGTTTTGGACATTTTAAAATTCTACTTTGGAACAAATAAAATGTTGGAGCTATTTCCAATTTGGAGATGGGAAAAAGCTCCCAGCGGTTCCACCAGCCACGGCAGAGACAAATGCAGTTCTAGGTCAAGTCCAACCCCTGACTTCACTGGCTTCACTGTCAGCGAGGCCCTTTGACTTGTCTAAGCTCCACCTGCCATGCATACCTTGGGACATCCTGCGATGTTGAGAGATGTAATTTGAGTGCAGAAAATGGCTACTGCTTTTATAATGTCATCTGACAGCTGGGAACAGTGGGAGACATCCAAGTGTTCCAAGTTCATCGAGCTTCTACAGAATGCCTGGAAGAGATTCCAAGGTCGAAGGTTTGTTTTTGTTCTATCTGAAACCACTTCACCTACAGCAATTTATTTAGTATACATTTGGGCCCCTTAAATATAGATTTCTGTCATGAACAAAGCAAAAAACATTACATCCAAAATCAGTATAGCAAAAGATACATGTCAAATTAACAGTTTATAAATACTCAAGTTCCTGCTACCAAATGCAGTTTTTTGATGCTGATGAAATGCAATTGGCGTATCAGTGATTAATAGGGTTCTATTCATCCAAATGAGTGGAGGTGAGGGGTGTGGAAACGAGAGTACTTAGCACATCCATCAGGGTGACCATGGAAAGAGCACAACCTTTTTACTTCCTTCCTGCTGTGTACAACCTATGAGCATTAATGAACGCTTTAGTCTTTTTGCAGCCTCCTCTTCTAAGCCGGGCAGATAATTCCTAGAATGCAGCATTATTCTGAAATGCCAGCGTGGTCATCTGAAACAGAGATGTTCACTGCTTCCCTATCGCCATAGCAAGGCAGTGGAACCAACTGAGATGGTCATCGGTGGGAAATGGATAGTGAAAGCATGGTGCACGGGCACTGTGGGATTTTGTTGAGACATGAAAAAAAACAAAACTGACATCACAAAATTTTCAGGGAAATGGATGAAGCTTCGAGGTATTATATTGAGCAAGATGACCCAGACTTAAAAAGACAAGATCCACATGTCTCATCTGTGGATCCCAGCTCACGATGTCTGCCTGTATTTCAATAAGTAGGGGTGGCATGAAGCAGAAGAGGGGCTATGGGGTGGGGTAGGGGGTAGAATGATACAAAGAGAGGGAGGGGACAGGGAAGAGAATAAAAAAAAAAAAAACAGATCTTGCTTAAAAGTTCCACACTGAAACCTAACACTGTCTATGCTAAATTACTAATTTAGAAAGACTTGATGACTCTGTAGATATTATATAAGAACAAAGTGAGGAGCTGGAAAGATGGCTTAGTGGAAGACCGGAGGCTGGTTCCAAGTATGCAGGCCAAGCAGTTCACAGCCTTATCAACTCCATCCAGCTCCAGCAGATCTTTTGGCCTCTGTGGGCACACACACACACACACACACACACACACACACACACACACACACACACACACAGAGGGGGGAAAATAAAATAAAAGAATAAAATCTTTAAAATAAAAATATTTAATGAACAAAATGATCCACAAAAATAAAACTTGTGACTGTAAAAATATAATAATAAATCAAGACAAGAAGAAATCAGATTCAATGACAATTCAAACCAATACAAGAAAAGTCCCTCTTTACCACCGTAACCATGGAAACTGTCAGTCATTCCCAGGGTTTTGCATCACTGCAAAGAGGCTCAGGTACTTAGAGTACTAAATCAGAGTCCTCTGTACACAACACTTTTTTTTAATTTATAAATTTTTATTTAAATTAGAATCAATCTTATTTTACATACCAATCCCAGTTCCCTCTAACTCCCATCCTTCCAAGTCCCCCACCAACCCCCATCCCATCCCCTATCCACTCCCCAGAGAGGGTGAGGCCTCCCTTGGGGGATCACCAAGTTTGTCACATCATATGGAGCAGGGCCTAGGCCCTCCCCTGTGTATCTAGACTGAGAGAGTATTCCTCCATGGGGGAATGGGCTCCCAAAGTCCATTAGTACACTGATGATAAATACTATCTACTATCAGAGGCCCCATAGACTGCCCAGGCCTCCTAACTGACACCCGCATTCAGGGTGACTGGTTCTGTCTTATGCAGGTTGCCCAGCTATCAGTCTGGGGTCCATGAGCTCCCTCTTGTTCAGGTTAGCTGTTTCTGTGGGTTTCACCAGCCTGGGTTTGACCACTTTGCTCATCACTCTACAACTGGATTCCAGAGTTCAGTTCAGTGTTTAGCTGTGAATTTCTGCTTCTGCTTCCATCAGCTACTGGATGAAGGCCATATGATAGCATTTAAGGTAGTCATCAATCTCATTATTGGGGAAGGGCATTTAAGGTAAACTCACCACTATTGATTAGATTCTTAGTTGGGGTCATACTTGTGGATTCCTCAGGATTTTCCTAGTGCCAGATTTCTCTTTAAACCTATAATGGCTCCCTCTATTATGGTATCTCTTATCTTGCTCTCCTCTTATCTTCCCCTGACTTAATCTTCCTGTTCCCCACGTCTCCTACCGCTCCTCTTCTCACCTTCTTTTTCTCCTCCCTCCCTCCCTACTGCCCCCACCCCCTGCCGTGCTCCCAATGTTCGGGAGCTCTTGTCCCTTTCCCTTTCTCCAGGAAACCATGTGTGTCTCTCTTAGAGTCCTCCTTGTTTCCTAGCTTCTCTGAGGTGTGGATTGTAGACTGGTAATCCTTTGTTCTATGTATAATATCCATATATGAGTGAGTACATACCATGTTTGTCTTTTGGGGACTGGGTTACCTCACTCAGGATGGTTTCATCTAGTTCCATTCATTTGTCTGTTCCATCCAATTTCAAGATTCCATTGTTCGTTTTGTTTTTTTTTTTTTTTTCATTTGAGTCATACTCCATTGTGTAGTTATCCTCGACTATGGATCAAGTTAATCTTGTCTGGGTGTTTCCAATTTTAGTGCGTGTGTAGCTAAAGTAAGTACTAAACTTAATGAGGCACTTACTATGTGCCACACAGTAGCAATTCCTCTATAGTACCTCTCAGAAGAAAAAAAAATGGCAGAAGCAGAGGGAGAGAGGCACACTCTATTAGAGTCAGCCTAGTGTCCATGAGCTGACCTGACACTCAAGACCTGAAAGCAAAACTGGCATGTAGCCCAATGGGCATCTACTTTCACAGAAACAAGAGCTGTCACTAGGAGGCCAGTAGAGTTCTCAAATCTAATACTCAAAGCCAAATTATTGGTAAAGTGTTGTGTACAATGAGTCTGCCGCCATCGCAGTCTTAGACCCACCTGCACCCACCTGGAAAGGTGAGTGTGGGACTTTCTCTAGTCCACCTCCCCTCACCCTCCTTTCAGTCTCCTGAACTGGGGGCTGCACATGTACATAGTGCTGTGCCTGCAGGCCAAACCATCCAGAGTCTTCTACCATTGCAGTCTTGGACCCTCCTGCACCCATCATGAGATGAGAGAGACCTGGGGGCAGATGCAAACCATCCAGCGACTGCAGCCATCAGAGTCTTGGACCTGTCTACACCTACTGGGAGAGGGTCTTGGACCCATACCCACCAGGAGAGGGAGAGACCCCACCTGCACCCACTGGAAGAAGGAATGGGAAGAAGACAGTATGAGAATACACTCAACAATGGAAAGACTAATATGACACCACCAGAGTCTAGGGACTCCACACCAGCAAGACCTGAACATCCCAATGCAGATGAAGCAAAAGAGAATGACCTTAAAAACAACTTTATGAAGATGATAGAGACCCTCAAAAAGGAAATGAGAAAATCCCTTAAAGAAATGGAAGAAAAAACAAACAAAAATTGCAAGAAATGTAGGAAAAGACAAACCAAAAAATGCGAGAATAGACAAATGTCTTAAAGAAAGCAAGGAAAGCCAAGAAAAAAACAACCAAACTGGTGAAGAAAACAAACCAGTTCAAGACTTGACAGCAGAAATAGAGACAATAAAGAAAACACAGACTGAGGGGATGCTGGAAATAGAAAAGCTGGGTAAACAATCAGTAAGTACAGATGCAAGCATAGCAACAGAATATAAGAGATGCAAGAGAGACTATCAGGTGTTGAAGATACACTAGAGGTAATAGAATCATCAACCAAAGAAAATCTTAAGTTCAACAAATCCCTAACACAAAATATCCAGGAAATATGGGACACTGTGAAAAAGCCAAACCTAAGAATGGTTGGTATAGAAGGAGGTGAAGTAACCCAGCACAAAGGTGCAGAAAACATATTCAACAAAATCATAGAAGAAAACTTTCCCAACCTAAAGAAAGACATGCCAATGAAAGCACAAGAAGATTACAGAACACCAAATAGACTGGACCACAAAAAAGGCCCCTCACCACATAATTAAAACACCAAACATACAGAATAAAGAAAGAATATTAAGAGCAGCAAAGGAAAAAAGGCCAAGTAACATATAAAGGCAGACATATCAAAATTACACCTGACTTCTCAATGGAAATTCTGAAAGTCAGAAGGTCCTGGATAGATGTTCTGCAAGCACTAAGAGACCACGAACACCAGCCCAGACTATATACCTAGCAAAGTTTCAATCACTATAGATGGAGAATACAAAACCAGATTTAAACAATACATATCCACAAATCCAGCCCTACAGAAAGTACTGGAAGGAAAACTCCAACCCAAGTAAGATATCTACACTCACAAAAACATAGGTAATAGATAATCCCACTTTACCAAAAGCCAAAAGAAAAAAGGGAGGAAATCCACACACAATACCACCACCCCAACAAATCCAAAACAAAAAAGAATCAACAGTCAATGGCCATTAATATCCCTCAATATCAATGGTTTTAACTCTTTATAAAAAGACACAGGCTAACAGAATGGCTACGAAGACAGAATCCATCCTGCTGCTGCATACAAGAAACACACCTCAACTTCAAAGACAGAAGGTACCTCAGAGTTAAGGGTTGGGAAAAGATTTTCCAATCAAGTGGACATAAGAAACAAACTGATGTAGTTATCCTAATATCCAACAAATTAGACTTCAAACTAAAATTAATCAAAAGATATAAAGGTCATTTCATACTCATCACAGGGAAAATCCATCAAGATGAAGTCTCAATTCTCAACATCTATGCACCAAATCCAAACACACCCACATTCGCTAAAGAAACACTACTAAAACTCAAATCACACATAAAACCCCTCACACTTATAGTGGGAGACTTCAATATCCCACTCTCAGCACTGGACAGGAACACCAGACAGATATTTAACAAAGAAACAAAGGAACTAACAAGTTATGACCCAGTTGAGTTTAACAGACATCTATAGAACATTCCTTTCAAACAGA